AGCCAGACACACTTTAACTTGGCCGTAGCATAGTGATGTCATTTCAGTCCTTTTGAGAATGAAAGACAGCAACCAACCAACCAGATTTTATGGCATTTATGAACATTTTTTTTTCTTCCAGTAAACAAGTTAATAGGTATACCTTGTTTAAAGTAAAGTCTAGATTTGAAAGATTCAGATTTGCATTTTTTAAAATAAGAGGCATGATTCTTCTTAAAAAAGATTCACTTTAGTGTTCTTTTGGAACAGCAAAATTAGCTAAACTCCTTCCTGTACAGAGTAAAGCTCATTGTCTTTCTCTCCAAAAACCACCTCTTACATTCCCTATTACTACTGAGAGTATTATTATCCTTCCAGTCACCCTGGTTCAAAAACTCAATTCCTTACTCCAGCTGACTCTGCATCTCTCAAGTACATCCCTTCCTTTCCACTTACACAGCCACAGGGTGTTATCACCTCTCCCCTTGATTATTGCTCCATAGAGAGGTTTGGTCTGTTCATGTTCAGCAAATTCCACTGGCTCCTTTTTACTTCTAGGATCAAATAATTCTCCCCCCTACGCCCCCCCCCCAAAAAAAATCCGCCAATAAACAAAGAAAAAAAACGTAAGATCCAGGCCAGAAAAATGTAAGAGCCAAATGTTATAAGGAAGTACTCTGGGAGTTCAGAAGCATTAGAGATCACTATGGGCAGAAGTGATCTGAGAAGGTTTCACAAAGGTAGTGTTACAGGAGTAGGACCTTGAAATACAGGTAGGATTCAGAGAGGTCTAGAGAAAGCAGAATATTCCAAGGCATAGTGTGAAGTAAAAGCATGGGGTTGGGAAAATGTATATGGTATGTTGGAGATAATGAGGGCATCAGTCTGGCAGGAGCAGAAGCCTTATGTAGAGGGGTGATGAGAAATAAGTTGATAAAAATTACCTTGAAGGCCATCAGATTTATCCCAGAGCCATTCAGGGTTTTTAAGCAGGGATGGGAGTTGATGAAAGCTTCAGAATGCAGTTAGGATTTTCTGTCTTTATGTGAGATACAAGGTTGTATGAGATAGAGGCCTGCCCAGAAGTCAGAGGCAATCTTTTTCTTTCCATCCTGGAAACTAGTTATCACTGATGTTTCCTATGAAAATGACAAATAACAACACATTCATATAGTGCTTTAAGGTTTACAAAATAAAGAAAAGGAGGCTTGGAGACATTAATTGACTTACCCAGGGCACCCAGATCCATAAAGCCCCTTCAGTGAATATAATGAAGTTAATTGGCTTGCCCAAGGTTCCTCAGCTAGGTTGTAGTGGAGCTGACATCCAGACCTACTTCTTCAGAAAATTTGAGGAGTTCCCCCCTCCTCCCCACTATCCCACCTGCTTGTATTGACTAGCAATATTGGATAGAAGAGTAGGCGAAGGCTTCTGACTTCATTTCTAGGTCTAGGCAAACAGGGAGCCAACATAACATAGTGGAAAGAGCACAAGAGGTAAGAGGCAGCTCTGCCGTATACTCACTGTGTGACTCTTGGGGCATATGGGATGTGCAGGGAGAACTAGCATCTCTGGTGTGAGGGCTGTGGAGTCCTTTTCAGGGCTGCTTGTCCACCTTGGGTGTCCACTTGTTACCTAGCTCTCACCTGTGACTCCAAAAAGCTGTAGCATGCGCAGCAGCCACACCCTAGTAAAACTGTCTTAGTAGACAGGCTAAATCAGGTTAAGGATAACTGACAGGCCTCAAATCCATCAGTGAGTTAGAGGGATGTCTACCCAAGCATGTGAAGACCTGCCCACCACCATAAAGGTGGCTGAAGCAGGTGCTATATACAGTGCTTAGAGTTTGGTCAGGCACTGAAGATGCCAAGATGCATCCTGGTTCATCACCAGTTGTTTTGACTTTTGTTCTGCCACTGGACTTCAACTACCCAGGAGGAGAGAAGTGAGGCTGATGACTTTGTGCAGCTCTATCTCACTTAAATCCAATTCCCACCAATCAAGGTATCACCCATGATGTCAGCGGTCCCCTTTGAGAACATAGGGCAAACAATAATAGCTAGTCTCCTCACAGCTTCTTCTAGTCTTTCTTACTCTCCTTGTAATCTGCAGTTCAGCCATACTGACCTGCTTACTCTTACACACCTGATGTTCCATAATCCATTTCCATGTCTTTTCATGGACTCTGTCTCATTCCTGGAATGTACTCTCTCATCTCAGCCTTTTGGAATCACAAATTTCCTTCAAGACTCAGTTCAGGGAGCGTCTTCTCCATGAAGCCTTTCCTCATTCCTGCCTCCTATGTAACTATGTTGTGTTCATTTTATATATGTTATACCTCTGTGTGTGTATATATGTATGTGTGTGTGTATATCTGTACACACACATAATCTCCCTCACTAGAATATAAACTCCGTGAGGGTAAAGACTTTCACATTTAGCACATTGCCTGGCATATTTGTTGTTGTTCAGTTGTGTCCTATTCTTTGTAACTGCATTTGGAGTTTTCTTTGCAAAACTGCTGGAGGTGGTTTACCATTTCCTTCTTCAACTCATTTTACAGTTGAGGAAACCAAGGCAAACAAGGTTAAGTGACTTGACCAGAGTCACACAACTTTTAAGTGTTTGAGGCCAGATTTGAACTTAGGAAGATTCAAGTCTTCCTGACTACTGGCCTGGCACCTTATTCATTATGCCACATAGCCACCCTTGCCTGGTACAAGCTTAATAAATGCTTGTTAATTTAAATGATTTAATATACAGAAGTTAGAGATATATACAACATTTCTACCGTGTAAACCAAGATAATGCTATAGCATATATGTAGTATAAGTTTGACTGTTAAATGAAATTTATAAATACAGAACACATATAATGATGATAATAGTAACTGACATTTATATAGCACTTTAGAGTTTGCAAAGCATTTTACATGTTACCTAATTTACATGGTACTTTACAGTTTACAAAATGCTTTACATACATTTTCTCATTTGATATATTGAGAATCTTCCTTCATTGTAGCCAGTGTTTTGTGGGTTAGATATTTAATTCTGTACCTTTAATAAAAGTACCAAGAAAAATTTGTGATAATGAGAATAAAGTACTCATTAAATATTTAGTTAACATTTATCGGGCAGTATATGGAAAGAACTTGTTGAGTACCTCTTAATGTTTGTAACCTACTTACGTGACAGTATCTTCCATATATACTTACCAGCTCTTTGCATAGGTGGTGATGACGGTGAGGTGGTTAGGTGTTAATAGTGGCCTTGAGAGCTTTTAAAATCTCAGCTCTTTACAACTACATTTTTCTTGAATAATTGTGTCTATTAATAATGGCATCAACAGAATATGAAAACTGAATTGAGGTTCTCATTCAACATTGGTTTGGGGCCACAGTGCCTCAACTAGCCTTGATAGTTCCTTCTAACTTGGGTAACTTAAAGTGAGAGGGGCTGAGAAGAATTTGGTTTGGCAGTGTGGGCTTTGGAGATATATCTTTAGTAATTGGATTCTAGGACCTTATGAACTCCAAGGAGTAGGTTTAATCTTTATGGCCCAGCTTCTTAACTACCAGCCTGACTCCTTTATGGGGAGGAAAATGAATTAATTGTTGTTCAACATTTCTTTTTCTTGTTCAACATTTCTATTGTTCTAGGTAGGGTTGTGATGGGAATTTTTTGTTTTAATTTCCTCAACTGTTCACTTTGGATAGTATTAGGAGAGTTAGGAAGAAAAATTCCAACCAGGAAAGCACTTATTTTCCTGTCTTAGGCCTATTCTTGATTTTTTTTTTCATTAATTCAGCTTCATTAAATAAAAGCCTCCATGGAATATGGAACATCAGATATACTTGGAAAATCCAGTGAGTGTGAGTGAGGTAGGAGGAGACCATGGGATGACAAGCTCATAGTACCTGTGTGCCTTGTGCACTGTGATTCAGCATGAGTGCTTTAGGGAGAAGGTGCAGAGAGGGCAGGTTAACACTTGTCATTGTATAGTGCTGAGATGGCTAAGCCAGCTAGTGGATAATGGGAGAAGATCGATCTCCTGCTTTTATACAGACAGTATTCCTTCTTCCTATGATTTCCCTCTGTCTACTTGTCCATGTTTATATATAAATACTCCAAATATATACTGTAAGTGTCCACACCATACTAGAAATATTCCTTAAGGCTCCAGAACCTTATCAATAATCTCAAACCTCTATTTTGAAGTGTGTTAGAGGACCTAGCTTTACCCCAAAGGCCAAGCCTGAGCTAGCTTCTCTGGTATACCTGATGTTTATTGTTGGTGACTTCTCATTGGATTACTAAAGTATACAGATACTTCCTACAGCAGCAGAGCTATAGTATCTAAAGGAGTACTTTTTGGAGAAACATTTGGAAAGCATATTTATGTGTTTATTGATATTTTTCCCTGAGAACCCTGCTAGACAGGAATGGATTAACATCTCAGCATCATAGGTTTAGACCTAGAAGGAACGTGCGGTTAACTAGTCCTACCTCTTATTTCATGGATGAGGAAACTTAAGTTAGAGAAAGAGTAAATATATACCCAAGATATACAAGTAGTGAGTGTGAGCTGGGATTTAAATCTAGGTTGTCTCACTTTGAGTCCAACCGTCTTTCTATTATGTGGTGTTGAAATGGTACTCTGGTTTTTGAGTTTTGTGCAAGTGATTTCTTTCCTATTGTTATTACCAATTTTTTTAAAATCATTTTAGATAACATTCCTAGTCAGTTTCCATTTTTTGTGCTGATGATAGTGGGTACACGCATCTGTTTAGGAACTATTAACTTGCTCTGCCAGTTCCACCTCCTAGCACAAAGGAAGGGCTCTTCTAAGCCAATTATACTCTTCTTATTTTTACTTGTTTGCTAATTTTAAAATCTACATCGAATGCTGTTTTGATTTTTCTTACCACAGCCCTATAATTGCTGTCTTAGCAAATGCTATTGTTGCCCATGTTAGTTTGTGATGTTCATAAAACAGATAATTTTTCCTTCTCTTAACAGGACGTGACAATGCGTGTGAGAAGACATCATACATGTTTTTACGAAAAGAGCTTCCAGTGCGACTGGCTAACACAATGAGGGAAGTCAATCTGTTGCCTGATAACTTGCTGAGCCGACCTTCGGTAGGGCTGGTGCAGAGTTGGTAAGTAAATATTTTTTCAAGAGCATAGTTATCCTGGAATTGTCCTGGACATTTTAGAGGCATAGTTCTGGTTCCTTGAATATTTAGGTATTGAAACTGTTTTTCTTAAAAATGAATTTAGAGGAAAACCTTGACTTTCTTGAGAGATGAGTCGTTCTGGATAGATGAATTTTCCTCATGCTTGACTTCCATTAAAGTTCTGTTTGAGTGTCTTATCAGGATTTGGAGATGAAGCTAGGTTCTTAAAGGCTAGGACAGTAGAGCACAAGCTCTAGAAGACTACCCGGAAAGCTTTCCAGGACAATAAATTATATTATAATTCTTCCCTTGGAGTGAATTATTTATTATGCGTTCAAGATCTAGCCTTGCAAGTTCAGAGAACAACCTTGCCAGAAGAGTGGCCTCAAATGATTTTTTTTTTCAGCTAGATCTTCCCCAAAAGGCTTCCTGCTAAGGCATTAAGGAAGCATCTACAGTGGTGAAATTGTGGACCCTTGAGCTGTGTAGTACAAATGAAGAAAAGTGAGCCTGAGAGGAATTATGTGACTTAATGAATGCTATGTAATCAGTGTGTGGCAAAACTCTGTTGGAGAAAATGAATGAATAAAAAAGAAAAAAAAACATTAAGTACTTAGGACATGCCTGCTACTATGCAAGTACTGGCATAAATCACTGAAGTCATAGGAATGCTGAGTGGAGTTATGGAGAAATTGACTGGCACATCTTTTTCAGGCATAATCCCATCCTTCTTCCTCTTTAGCCTTTTTCTGTTTACAAGTTCCTTCCACATTGCTTTCAAATATTCTGCCTTATCCCTAAAAAATCCTTCATTCAACCCTGCCCTCTCCTCAGGTTATCATCCTATATCTCACTTCCATTTCGCCAAACTCTCACTTTGACTCTACTTTCACTCTTCTCACTCTTTAGCACTTTGCAGTCTGCTTTCCAGCCTTGTAACTCAACAGAAGCTTCTTTTTTCAAAGTTACCATGATCTTTTAATTGCAATATCTGATGGTCTTTTCTTAGTTCTTACTCTTCTTGACTTCTATGTAACATTTGACACTGTTGACCAACCTTTCTTCCTATATACTCTTTCTTCTCGATTTTCTGACTCTTCCTTCTCTTGGTTTTTATCTTATCTCTCTGAATGTTCCTTGTTAGTCTCCTTTGCTGGCTTATCCATAGCACACTCCCTAACTGTGTGTGTTCTCCAAGATATGCCTTTTGTTGAGAAAGTTCAGAAAGTATTTCTAAGGATGACTTCTGATAGAACACTTAGCTTTGTTGTACTGCTTTTACAGTCAGTAAGACTAGTAGCTTCTTGAGGGCAGGAACTGTGTCTCATCAAAACTCTTAATTTATTTCTTAATTGGTCTAGCACACCATAAGTGTAGCTTACATGCTTGTCTTTATAGGCTGTAGTTCTTTACAATCTTGACTTAAGAAGACAAATATTCATTCCCATACTGCTGAACTTCGTTGGTATGTCTTTAGTAATGGTATGCTGATGCATTTAAGGGCTATTGGTACTGTTTCCTTCATGATCTCCAACAGTAGAGATATTTTATATCAAGAGCAACAGTATTGAGATGAAAGTGACCATGTACTTTCCTGCTCTTGAAGAATTGACCTTTTTTTTCTTTTCTGATATAAGAATGTTTGCTGCCCAGTGTCCCAGTAGTACCTCTAATTGCTTCCATAGCTATTGATCTCTATAATTTTTTTCTATTTTTTTTTCATATCTTTTTTGTGGAGTCTTAGCTTTTGCTTGAAATGCCCAGCCTTTTATAACTCATCTATGAATTGGTACTTCTTTTTGCATACTGAACCTGACCAGTGATAGAGGAGGGTGAAATATTTAGATCTTCATTTCTTCTTCCTTGTGTTCTTTTCTGGGTGCTTAGTGACTGCCTTTGGGATGTTGTAATAAAGGTGGGTGTTTTTTTGTGTCTGACTACTTCTGCTAGAAAGCTAATCTTTCAATAGTTAGGACTTTACTGTTTTCTGTAAGTTTGATGAATTTAAATAATTTTCCTTTTTCCTCAGATGCCAATGAAAATATTTGGCTTTTGAATACATTTCTTATTTACTGTCTGCTGGTAACTGGAAATATTCTGACTCATTGAGTAATTTTCTGAGTAGGAGGTGGGAAAATGGTCAAATTGGCACTGAATCCTTGTGTATTAATGAATTATGACTAATGTCTCCACTAAGAATCTACATTAATTTTTAGTTAACTCATTAAAATTGTTTGTAGTGGATGTCAAGTCTAGTAGTCAGAGTATCTTGTATTGTTTTCTTCTGAAAGCAGATATGAAACACCCACATAATCCAATTGCCTCTATTACAAGTAAGTTAAGCAGATATGCTGTCCGTTAAGTAAGACAGTCTATTTTGTTTTCTTCTTGGTTTTTATTGTTACATTTTGTTTTGACATAATCACTTCCCCCAAAAATACAGTTCCCCATAGCACTTTCCTATAGAAAGGTAAACACAACTGCTTGAATGCAATGGTTCTAACTACAGTATGTATTAATTTCCATTTTTTGTAATTTACTACTTATTAACAGAAAAAGAATGTGTACTTTATATGGAGCCAACTATGTTCATTATGTTTGATCTGAATTTTGCTACCTCTTAGTGTTATCTTTTTTTACATTGTTGTAGTCTCATGTATATTCTTTTTGGCTCTGCTTTTTTACTCTGTATCAATTCAGTACTTACTGTGTCTTTGTGAATTCTTCATATTTGTTGTTAGGACCATATATTTTAAAATATACCCCATCTACATAGATGTGCATACAGCTAGCTGTGCCAGCATAAAACTTATGTGTGTGTGTGTATGTATCTGTCTGTCTGTCTTTCTGTCTGTGTGTGTAAGTGTGTATGTGTAAATCTTTGCACCATAACCAAATGGAGAGATATGTATTGGGGAGTGAAATGTGAATTGTATCAGCTAAAAGCATGAGAGAATAAATAACTTTGTTTCTAGGTAGTTGGGAAAAGGGTTGGATGGGGCAGGAGGTAATATTTTCTTTCCTAACTGAAAGGTGTGATTAGGCCATCAGTTGTGATAGAATTATTAGATTATTATTTTCAGGCTATTTAGTCAGAACAGGTTTCATGGAGGAGATAGGTCTTTAATAGTGTTAGAGGGTGTGATGAATCATTACTAATTGTTGAAGTTACAACGTTAAGCATAAGATAATGTGGAAAATTAAAATACAATTGAAATGTTTAGTGAGGGAGAGAGGAAATAGGGAGAGAAAGAGGAGGGAAAGAGGGAGAGAATGGAGACCCTGAATACCAATGGGAATGGTAGGCTTATGGTGCCCTTATGTCCTGACTCAGTGTTGGGAGGTTGGGTTAACAACTGGTGAAAGGTTGGTGAAGTTGTCTTGATATTTTTACTCCAACTTTGTTGAGGTTGGGAGAAGAGCCATCCCTGGATGGTATATTGATAGCCCATTTGGCCACTTTTCCTTTATCTCCATGTCCATATATATGGTTAAATTATGTAAATACTATACACATCCAACTCTCCTGGTTGTCAGTATCACATGAGAGGCATCCTGACACCGTATGGAGCCCTGGGGTCAGCATGTCCAAAGGCAAGAATGAAATAGAACAAAAGAAAAAATAAAGATATGTGCGGAACAGAATTCCCTTAGCCTGGGACTAAAGAGAAGTGAGATATTTGATTTAACTCTGGCCATCTTGGTGGATTGTCATTTATTCAGGGGGAAAAATTTGGTTTTAGTCCTCAGTGTGAAAAAGAAACATTGTTTTTCTGACGACATGAATGACCTTATGAAAAGTTTGATTTTTGTTAATGGAAGCTTTCCGTGGATAGTAGAACAGCCAACGTCGTGCCTAATGAGGGGGAGGCATTAGTTGACTCGAAAGACCTAGAAACTAGACTGTGAGAATGGAGAAGAAGGAACAGAAATTAAACATATAAAAGGAAGCTGTAGGATTTGGCTCTATATTGGTAAAGGAAATGAAGGATAGTGAAGACTGAAAGGTGTTTGAGTCCTAATTTGGAATATGTATGGAGAATAGACCAGACATTTCCTCAGTGACTTAAAGGTCAGGGAGAGGGCTTCACAGGGAAAATGAGTTTGGGCTTGAGAGAACAGAAATTCTTGTGATTTGAGATGTTTCCTAGACAAAAAGAAATATTGCTTAGAATCAGGGAATCTGGTTCCTTAGGCTATAGAAAATTGTTCAGGCTTACGTTTTCCGTTTTTCTTCTATCTAAATATTGTAATAATATCCCAATATTATATATTGAGTAATAATGTCCCAGGCATTATGGAGAATAGATATTTGTATCTTCTTGTTGCATACAGGCTAATAGAGGAAATTGGAACAACAATCTGTTGACTGCCAACGGCTACCGACTTGACTTGCATGCATTTATGGTTGGAAGGTATCTTGGAAGTTATCTAGTTTAATTCCTTTATTTTTTATTTTTATAAGTGAAGAAGCTTCACAATAACTGAGGTCCGTTGAGGTTGTTACTTGTCTACATAAGCTCAGATGAATAGCGAGTTAACAATATCCAACCCCAAAGGTCTCTTGACAGACAATCCATGGATTTTTTTTTCCCCCATTACACTCCAGTAATCTTACATTTAGACATGGAAGGGACCTCAGAGGCCGTCCAGTCCAACTCCCTAATTTTGCTGATGAAGAAAAAAAATAAGACTAAGAGAGGTTAAATAGTATTTTATTTTTTCCCACAATTACATCCATTTTTACAAAATTTCCAAATTTTTCTCCTTCACCTCCCCTCTTCTAAAAATGGTAGGTAGTTCGATATAGTTTATACATACGATATCATGTAAAATATATTTCCATATTCATCACAGTTGTGGAAGGAGAAACAGATAAAAAAACATGAGGAAGAATGAAGTAAGTGAAAAAATATGCTTCAATATGCATTCAGAGTACATCAGTTCTTTATCTGGATATGGATAGCATTTTCCTTTGTGAA